GTCTTCTGCCAGGATAAAATAAAACCATTTGCAAATGTGACAGGTAGACCAGTCCATGGAATATGTAAATCCCCTAAAGGAATTAAGCATCATTAGGACATCCTGCAAAAGAAGTTTCCGAGGTTTTTTTTCCTCATCATTTTTCTTGAGAACAAGCATGGGTCTTCTTGTCAAATGCAGATATTTAATATACCTGACTCATTGTGTGTAATGGGTTTTAGAGTCCCTCTGAAACCAGTTGTTAATTGTGCTTTGTGAATGGATAAACAAATCCCTTCTCTTGAAAGTTGATGATGGCAAAAGCTATGCATTCCTGAGAGAGGAAAAATACTTGAATTGCAATTTGCCTTCAAAAGAGACATCACCAAGTGTCTTCAATGAATGAACATTTAATTTCTGTATTTGAATTGTGGATTGTTAACAATGAAAGGACTTTGAAATTTGTAGCATTTTGTAGAAACATTGGATCTTGAGCTTTCTTTTTCAGGATGTACATTTATGAACCATATTGCAGGTAAACATTGAAATAGCCAGTAGTATATCTTTAATGTCATCAACAAGAAGCCATTTTCAGAATACAGATGGAAATGGGCAGAGAAGTCTTTGTATGGAACAAGAGTGTAAAGTATAGGAGAGAAAAAAATCTTAGTCTCCAAGGATGGTTTATAGACCCTTTGTGACAAGTCCTTATCGTATATAATTACTACATGGTACATGATATTAGTATTTATCCACTTTCCTCCCTGATGTGTTCTAACATTCTCTGTGAACACCCATTTTTTTAAAGCTTCAGCTTGACTAGGAATACAATTATGGGGATGGACTCAAGTTTAAAATATTTATTTACTATCACTTTCTAAAATGTTCAGAAATCCTAATTAGCGATTGACCGTCATAACTACCTCTCAGTTCATTAATAGAACTTGCAGGGACCATTATCTGTAGACAAGTCACCGTCAATATGTAGACTTCATGCATCTCAAGGAATTTCTTTCTTGTACCTTATTGAAAATTTTCAAAAAAATTAATAATAGTATGTTAAAGAGTTGCATCTTAGTTAAAGATTATTTTCCAGAAAATTACAGCTCCTTGACTATCATGTCTAGGCAGTCTCTGATCTGAGTTGAGGGACTTGCTAAGCATGGAGGTGAAAAAGGAAATTACTTCTACTTCAAGGTTTCCAAATATCTGGCAAGAATCTTAGCAACATTTCTCCTAATACTACCTCTGGGCAAGGCTATTTTGCTAACATTTCTTCTCTTGTTTTTTCCTACCTTTTACTTCAGTGTTAACATACTTAATCTATCATTTCACCCGCTCTAGTCTCAGGGTATAAATCAAGATCTGTAAAATTGTTCAGTAACAGAATTTAATTGCCCTGGAGGAAAAGGGGACTTTTCTCTCTTGAAAGCCAGAGGGAAATGGTGGCATTTAAACTCTTGTCGGGAATTTTAAAAAGAGAAAAAGCAAAATATATGCTCTTAAACATTAATTCATATGGACCTTTATTTTCCTTCAAAACTTGCTGACTGAAAAGATTTTTTTTAAACATGGATGGATTCAGAGCAAGTGAAATGCTGTAATCAGATGTGGTTTGAGCTTTGGCATTTTATATTTGTACCTTTTGGAAAGACTTTCTGTAGAACTCTCTGGTATTTTAGTATGTATCCAAGAGAGATTATGGTTCGTATGTCATCCATAGTCATCCAAAAGAGTGCCAAGTAGTCTCAAAAGCTGGGTTTTCTTACCAAATGAGGCAGACATGGAAAGTTCAGACAGGTCACCCAAATTAAGATCAAAGCTTCCAGACCAGATGAGAATCTCCTTAAACTTTTTTGAAATATTGATTTTCATTGTTTATCTGTTTCCATAGGTTTAAAAAGTTAGTCTGTTGTTATAGCTTTTGTCAAGTACATATTTTCTGCCTTAAAAACAGATTGGGGGGTGGAGATGAAAATAGATCAGTGGTGGAGCACATGCTTAGCGTGCAGGAGATGCTGAGTTCAATCCCCAGCACCTTCATTAAAAAAAAACAAACACAGAATCAGTAATGTGGTATCTTTTATGACAAAGGGAGCATGATATCCACATATTCTACTGTATGTTTGCATCACATGCAGTGACTATTTTATGCCTAATTGGACATTTTTAGTGTTGGCATTTTCCATTTTTTTCTAATTCATTAGAAACGTATTGGCCATAATAGACAGAGGTGAATTTCAGAAAATTAGATTAGATATAAAGGTGGTCTTTGTGGATGTTTGTATATCCTCTACAATAATGAGATGACCTTGCTTCTTGTCCCAGTTCTGACATCACATTCATGTGGCTTTGGATAAGTTAACATCCTCCCTGGGCCAACATTCCCTCATAACTAAAAGGAGTTAATGATTTTATCTCTTGCAGTGTTAGGAGGAGTAAATAGGAGAGGGGGAAAGACATGAGAAAGGTTAGGATACAATGGATGTCAATGAAAGTAAACGCTGCGTTGGACTTTCAGCCAGAGCATCCTGAGAGACACAGGATCAGGGACTGACTTCTAGCAGCGCATCTTTCCCTCAAGGGAAAGTTATCAAAGAGCCAGTTATTTTGATCTTAAAAAAAAAAACAGCAAGGAAACTGTTACAAAACTCCACAGAAAACATTGTATTTCATGTGAATGGTGGCTCCTGGAGCTGTGTAATACTCATGATGTTTTCCTGGGGGTGATGCTCTCTACTTAATCAAAATAAAGGATGCTTGGTTTCCTCACTGGGAGTGGGGCCATTGCCAGAGGCTAGAAGCTCTTATAAACATACATATTCAATTCTAACACGTGTTAGACACGATAAGCAGATGGAGGGTCTATAAGCTTAGGCTAGTGAGAAAAATAATTGATCAAACAATTGTTTTTAAAAATTGTGGCATTTTTGGATTTAGTCAGGGCAGAAAAATTGAGATTTGCAGGAATTCTCAAGACACAAATTCTATCTCTGTGTTTTTTGTATATAAAACTTTTTCTTGCTATTAAATCTACTCTAATCAAGACCTACTTCTTCCCATCCAAAGATTCTGAGTGGAAGTTTGAGGCAAAGATGGGAATTAGAAAATAAGCCAACTCAAATGTAGGTTCGTTAAGACACTGATGGCGTGAAAATGTATCCCAAGATCTATCCATTGAACTGGAACCATTTTCACCACCGTGTTTATATCTTGTCTGAAATATTTTGTCTCCACAACAATTCACCCCAAGTAAGCATGATGGTTCAGTAAATGACCCATAGTTTATGAGCATTTGTCAAGAGAATCATTCCAGAAACTTCTACTACTTTATCAAAGATGAACAACAGCCAGGTGGCCCTAGAGACAGTAGAGGTGAGTAGAGGTGTGGCTGTTAATTCAGCCACATCTTGTAAATGATTATTAATGATCTCATTTGAAGAACAAAGAGGAGAGAGAAAAACACCGTGTCTTATTTCAGTATTTGAAAATAAGGTTAATCAAAGTTTGAGTCTTTACAATGATGACCAGAGATGGCTTAATGGTGTCTTAGAGATATAGTCTGAGATACAAATTACTAAGAAGTAAGGAAACCCATTGTCCCTGTTGCCCAGTCTTGGAGTAAACTATTGAAAATTGCTTATAAACTATTGAGAAGTAAAGGTAATGGGGAACTCCAGTGCACAGAGCTTGTTAATCCCTCAAAAATACTCTCAATTGCAAGCTCTTCGAGAACACATACTGCATTCTATGGGTGTTCAAAATATCATTTTAAATTTATAATGAACCATGAAGGATTTCTTTAAAGTAGCACGGTTAATTAACCTCATGTTTAAACAGAGCAGAAAAATACCCAAATAGCACATAACTTATGGCTATCCATCTGGGAGGGCATTTTTGGATCCTACTTTGGTTTCTTTTTTCCCCACTGCTCCATGCTAAGGTGTGAGGTGGTAGGTTGCAATAATCTTAATCCTTCTCCCATCGATTTTGCTAATTAAAAGGGAGGACTATCCAACTCAAGCACACCCACACAGAACATTCAGGATGCTTCCATACAGGCATTAAAAATACATAAGGCTGTTTTCCATTGCTAAATTTCTAAAAGCCCTTGCATGTTTTATGTTTGACCTTTTTCCTCAGTAGGTAAAAGAATCCAGTAGTTCTCAACCAGAGGTGAATTTTACCCCCCAGGGTGTATTTGACAACGTCAGGAGACGTTCTTGGTTGTGGCAGAGGCACAACTAACATCTAATGGATAGAAACCAGCAGTGCTGCCCAACCCTCTATGATACACAGCAGAACCCTCACGGCCAAGAACGATCCAGCCCAACATGTCCATAATGCCAACATTCGGTCTCCAATCCACGTTGACCTGAGCCTGTGCTCCAATGGAAATGACTGTCCTGAAAGAGAGTCACTCTGACCTTCACAGGTTGAGGGATTCAAAAAAAAATGTGAGACAGAAACACGTTGAGGCACTTCACACAGATGTTTGAGTGAGCATCTCCCTCTGAATGGCGTTACGGCATTTCACAAACGTAAAAACTCTCTCTGGGAATAAAACACAGCCTTAGGAGATGATGTCTTTATTCTTCTAAAGGTCAGGAAGACCTCGGTCATCATTTTGAAAAGAAGCAAACGCTATGTAACACTCAGTGCATTTGGCAGCTTCCTTTACTGCACAGTCAAAAAACACTACCTTTCATCTATTATCTGTTTCCCACTTAAGCATTTTCTGAAAATAAAGGTAGGAAGACTTGGGTTTGCTTTCAGCTGATAACTACGTCATTATAAGACCTCTGGCATCACCAGCATCCTTCTAATCACATTCAAATGGCATGATTTATCTTACGTTTTAAAATTTTGGTAAGAGTACATATTAAACATTTTGTAACTGTTTGGGGAATTTGAAAGGTTATTGAGTTCTGAATAACAGAGTCTCTCATGTTTTCCCACCAAACTTTTCCCAGCAGTGAATATATCTGGATCTTATTCTGGTTTTTTTGTTCTTTTTTTAGCTTCCTGAAATGACTCATGTTCAAACACGGCGACCCTGGTTGATGTTTCTCCTGCAGAACTTTGGACTGACCCTAGGTTGGCTTTCCCTCTTACTCTTGGCTATATATGAACAAAATATTAAGATTTAAGAGTCTCAAAATCCTTCAGAAATCAATTTCTATGGCTTCATTTTATTTCTTTTGTTCTACTCTATAGTGACATGTAAATTAAATATTTTTATCTTAGGTGAGGTCTGTGTCTTTTAGTTTGTTAACTTATTACTTGTATAATGCAATTTTACTCCTGTAGTGTATAAATGTCAGGTTGTCCTTAACTGAAATTGTGTTTTTAGTTTCCAACACCGTGATGGAACTCACACCTTTTTAGTAATTAGTAAACTAAATTAATTCTAGTAAAACTTTCAAAAAATACTGTTTCCCTAATAAAAGATGTTTGTTGTATTTGAAGTGGACAGATGTCTATTGGAATAAAATCTGCTGCAAATTCTTTGATGTCAAAAATATATTCTGTGTATGTGATTATAAACCATAAGCGAACTAAATTACAAACAAATATAATAAAATCTAGTTTCAATGTGATGGTTTGTATTACCTTCTATCACTGAATGTCAGATTCTGAATCAACTCTAACAAAACCAATATAATATAGATCACCTGGAAGCAAGACCCACTGGCTCAGAAATGCTCATAAATAAGCAAACTTGGGAAGTTTAAAGGCCAATATGTCAGCACTTTTCTCTATAATCACCAAAGGCAATCTTTTCTAGGCAAAGAAAATTCGAAACAGAAGATGACGTTTAAAATTTTTTTTAACATAACAAAGCTTGAGTCGGGGGCGGTAGATTAACATGTAAACTCTCTCAGATGTAACAGGGTATGTTTATGAGAATAATCTTACTGGCATGTGAAATATGTTTTATATTCTTTCTAAGGCAACATAGAACCCTAAACATTATTTCAGTAGGTAAGTTCATGAAATGTACAAGGAACATTACTGATAACCTAGCAAAATTGTTAAAATAGAAAATAACTCTGGCTTTAGTCATTTTTCTTGGAAAACAGATGCCTAATACTTTTCTTATTTTTTAATGACATATCTTGACAAGGGGGGAAAAATGTCCATTTTACTGCCAAAATGACTCATAGCACTCAATCAAATATATCTCTCCTCTCACCAGTACATAATCTTTCTCACGTCTACACAAACAAAATCTTTTTCTGCTACTTTTCTTTGATTTCAAAACGAGGTGGGTTTCTTCACTTTTCCTTTGGAGCTTCATTCAAGGGGGCATTTTGATACAGTGCATTAATTCTCAGACACAGGCTTTTTTTTTTGTTTTTTGTTTTTAAAGGGACAACATTTATTCCTTTTCCAAATGTTACAGTAAAACCAGGTGGAAGAGAATGGTTTTAGCAGTTAGGGAAAAAAAAAGTACAGACCTGGGGTTTGGCCATGAAAAGTTATTTACAACAATGGGAGGGGGGAAAAAAAAGACAAGAAGTTGTTTCACATTACAGACCTCCCCCTCGACCCCAAAGCTTAATGCTTGCTTAGCAAGTCAAAAAAGAGACACGGTTGATTCACAAGCTGGAGGTTTGAACTTGAGTAAGACATTTGTAAAAACCTAGACAGGGGCAGTGTCCACCCCAGCCCAGGTGCCACTAGGCACAGCACAAAGAGACTAAAAACTCAACGGGGGAAGGCTGGACACGCAGGGTTTGGGAGTGTAGGCACCCCCACACCTGGCTCAGGGATCTGGGGAGTAAACAAAGCCTACTTGGAAAAGAATTGGGGAAGAAAACCAACAATTGCCTCTTGCAGGGGTAGGGATAGGGAAGGAGGCAGGCCCAGAGCAGGAGCATGTCACATCACTAACCTAACTTGGGAAGCTGCAAGGGACCATCTTCAACCGGCCTTAAGAGGAAGACCAGCTGGATGATGGGAGAACCCACAGGAGGGAGAGGAGCAGAGGGAACCTGGCTAGGGGCCAACAGCCCCTTCCTTTCCGGGCACAGGAAGGCAGCCAGGGCACCAGGTCCAGGCAGTGACCTCACAAGGACAGCACAGTTTCTGCAGCTTAGAGATCACCCACCTGCCCCCACCCAGCTACTCATTCTGCTCGCTTGTTTGTGTAGGGCCACTCTCCAGCCCCGAGGGGGCGGACGGCTCTGCGGCCTGGGGCCCTGCCTCTTCTTCTGTGTCTGCTCCCTTGGAGGCAGCGCTTGCCTCTGCCCCTTTGGCCTGGGGCTCCTGGCTCTGAGGGGTGGCAACAGCTTTCCCTTCCTGAGTAGTGCCTTCCTCGCTGCAGGCACCGACTTCCCCTGCTCCTGCTCTTCCTCTGTGGGTGAGGAGGCAGACCAATCGCCCCCACCCTGCTTCTGATTTCTCTTGAAGGACAGGCCACTCGATTTGAAAGGCTTCTTGAAAAAGAATCTCTTCTTCTTCTAGGGGATCTCCTTGGAGGGGGGCTCCCCCTTGGCTTCAGCACCCTGGCTAAGGGGGTGCTGGCTCGATGGCATCGCCAGCGGCCCCGGCTGCCTCCCCTGTTCGGTTCACCCGGGGCGACTCCCCTTCGCCTCTGGGGGACAAGTCTCCATTGCTTTTCACGTGGCCGTTCTCCTGTCCATTGGCCTTAGCGGGGGGGGGGGGGGGGGCGCCTGCTGCCTCCTCGGCGGGCACGTCGCCCCGGGGAACCTTGGCGCTCTGGCTGCCCA